CCCGTGCTGGCCGGAGATCGCGGTGGCTCGGCCCCCTCCGCCGCCGCGGCAGCAGCAGCCGCCTGGATGTCTTTGGGGTCGGAGCTCGCGGGGCGGGGAAGGAAGCAGGCGAGCTCCGGGAAGTTGAGGTGGGCTCCACCGCCTTTGATGGCCAGAGCCGCCACGTCATGCGCACGCGCCGCCATCTCGGGCGTGGAGAATGTCCCCAGCCATATCCGCGACTTCTTTCTCGGTTCTCTGATTTCCGACACCCATTTTCCCCATTGTCTCATTCTGACCCCTCTAAAACTCGGATGCCTAGAAACACCCCTCTGGCTTCCCTCTTCCTCTATCTCTCGTTTCTTGTTCTTCGGATTCTTTCTTCTGATTCTCTCCGGCCCCATCTCCGCCGCCTGTGATTCCGGAGGAGACGGGTGTTGTTGCATACGGACTCCGCGGGGGACTGAAATGCACCGATAAAAGTTTGGGGGTGGAAATGAAAAATGAGAAGTTGGGGTTTGTGTGTTAGCAGTAGAAACAGTGTTGGGGAGAAGAGGTCGGCGGGTTTCTAATATATACATAAACTCGCGACGTCAACATCAATGTGTAGAGTTAAAATAATACCTAACGAAAACCTAATTTTAAAAAATATATATATTCAATATAATATATTATTTTCACTCTTAAATTAATGCTTAGGCTTTGTTGTTATCTTCTATTAGTGGACCTATCAAATTCCGTTTTCATTCAGTTGTGTTATTGATTGTTAAATTTGATATTAATTTTTTTTACAGTTTTACTTTTATATAAATTCGAAGAAAAATAAAATTTCCAAAACAATAATCGAAAACCCATCGCCATGATATTTATTCACCTAGATAATTATGAACTCTAATTTAGGTAGAACCCAATGCGGCAAAGCATATGTCAACGTTATATATATATATATATATATGTTTTTTTATTTAATTTTTGTAATGGAAATCTCAATTCTTCATTGTACACAGAAGAAATGGGAAACTGTAAATATTAATAAAAGTATTAGATTCAATTGTAACTCGTGGACCCTCTATGTTGCTTTGTAAGGTTGCTATATAATATTTTTTTTGCTTTATTTTTTTTCCTAAGTAGTTTTTTTTTAAAATATATATATTTGTCGGCCTGCAAAATTTTAGCACGTTTTTTACATAGTACATGCATATGTACATTTATAGAGAAATTGACAAGAGAGAACGATTATATATAGACCATTAGAGACGTTAATTTAATTTCCAAGTTTTAAAAATTCATGGAACGTGTGTGTGTGTGTGTGTGTATATATATATATATATATATATATATATCCAAACAGATACACATGAAATTTATGTGATTTTATGAAATCATTTATTTCGTAAATAAAATCTTCTACATCGACTACTTACGAGTATTATTACTAAGGAGTGGAACATCATACATATGAAAGGTTAGATTTTTGTTTTGGTAATCATGAATTGAAAATAAAATTTAAAAAGAAATATAATTAAACGGGGTATTCCAAATGTATATGTATATATGTATGTATGTATGTATGTATGTATGTATGTATGTATGTATGTATGTATGTATGTATGTATGTATGTATGTATGTATGTATGTATGTATGTATGTATGTATGTATGTATGTATACGATTCCACACGATTAATTATAACAATGTCCGTAGGAACACACGACGAGCCGTAGCAAGGCTGTTACATTTTTAATCACTATAATAATTTATTAATATATCTTATTACATAAAAGAGCTTCTTCGATATATATATACATACACACACACACTTACCTGTTATCTTTCATTAATGTGTAAACACATACACATATATATATATACACACGTTTTATACAAACGTGTAGCAAACTTCTAAAATATAAGTGTACACATTATTGTAGCATTTTTGTATAGTTTTTTTTTTGGACCAACCAAAATCTTTTGGAAATGCCTTTTGAAGGTACATATCTTTGTTTTCCTCGAATTTAGGTAAACAAATATTGATACGGATACATGCAAATGGAACCAACCAACACAAAGCATACATTTTTTTAAAAAATGTAAATGTACTATATTTTAATATTAAAACAAAAAAAAAATGAATCCAAACTTTGGTGACCTAGTGGTGAGAGAACATGCAAAACATGCTCTCACCCTGGATTCAAATCCAAGCGTGGGGAGTGACATTCACCTGGGCTTCCCCGGTTTTCTAGGAGATGTAGTCAAGCCAAAGGCCCGGTGAACTTCCGGATTATCAAAAAAAAAAAAGAGTTAAAGTTGTTTCTATTAAACATGGCAATAAAATTACTTTGTAATTATGATGTCTTAACGACTAACCAACCAGCATTTCGTTAACTTGAATGAATGCATCTCCTTTTTTAATTAAATTAAATATCATAGTGTTTAGGGTTTATTACTTTTTGCATTGTATTCAACTAACTAACTAACACGGCTATTAAATGCATATTAAATGTGATAACAATTAAATGCTAAAGTTTGAAATAATATTGGTGCAAAACGTTGGGAGTTATATGCAACAGAGTAAAAGTTTAATTGAAAAGGTAAATGGGATTTATATGTTTGGTCCGAATTCGTGAAATTCGACAACATGTAATAATCATTCGATTTGTTCTTATATCTCGACCATCCATCTGAACAACACTGACACTGTTCTTGGTTTTATACATACATATATATATATATAAAAGGTTTACGGACAAAACAGTAACACAAAATCGTACAAGGAACACAAATTCCATAAAAAGAAAAGGTATAATCTTATGGTAACCAAATGGTTTCGACTTTCAGCCAAATTCGATTCTTGTATTTCTCAAAAATATATTTCAAAATGTTATATATATATATATATATGGAGAAGATAGTAACAAGATTTTAATGATAAAAAAGTTTTATTATTTTTTTTTTCAAAACCTTGAATATGTACGCATAACCAAAACTATGTCTTACATTAGTATTTTTGGCGCGCTTTAAATAAAAAAAAAAAAAACATAATCGCCGGACTTAATTACCGGGCGATTTTATTGAGATAAAACAAAAGTCTTCAATAGGAGTTAGAACGACAACTATCAGAGGCGAGCGGTGCGGAGCTGTTGCTTGAGGAGGGGGCGGATGTATTCATGGTAGCCGTCGGGGACGACTGAGTCGTTCAGGGGATCCTTCCACGCTTCCTCGAACAGCTTCGGGTACACGTTCCCGTCGTAGCGGCCCAGTACGGAACCCAGGTAATGGTCTGTGTAGTTGAACGAGTCGACCAGCGAGACCGCGTTTGGACGAACCTAAGACGACAACGGCAGCTTTCAGACAAAAGGGTTTGTTTGTAATAAAACAAAGAATGGGAATAATGACTGAAAGAAACCGAACGAACCAGAGAGAACAAGGAACGGAGCTGGTCGGAGGCGAGAGAGGCTTGCTCGGGAGAGATGGAAGAGGTGGTGAGGAAATCGCCGAGGTGTTTGTGGAGAAGATGGAGGGCGTAGACGTAGCAGAGATTCTCCAGCTGTTTCTTCACTCCCTTCCCTCCTGGGATTTCTTGTTCCAGTTTCTCTATAAACCTGACCCACAAAGTTCATGTATTAGACAAGACAAGCCTTGTGTTTTTTTCTTCAGATTCTTTTCCTTAGGATCCTTCAACCCGTTTGGTTAGATGCGTTTATTACAGAGAGAAAGAGAAAAAGGCTTTACTTGGATACGACGATCAGCTGGCAATGAGCAACCGCAACCTCGACCAAATCAGCTGAGAGCTCTGCAAATCCTGCGCAGACAGTAACGAGTTTGTAAGAAACTACAAGAGCTAGAGTGGGATTCTTCTTTTGGTCAGGGTTTAGGGATTTCACCGGGTATACATATACTACAGCGAAAAAGTAAAGAGGAAATGAAGTACCTTGTTCCGGATTCTCATACTTGCTGAGATTCGTCGCACAAGCAACAGCCATTCTCAAAGACCGTGCCTCAAAAGCCTCCAGCACCACACTAGGTTTTAACCAATCCTCAGCTGCATCCCCAGAAACCAACATCATGAACTTGAGAATCGATGTGAAAAAGAAAACACAGAGACCTACCCCTTTGAGCAGCAGAACGACATTGCATAAGGTGTTCTGCCCGTCCCATATAAGCTGTTGTCCCGACAGGAGCCTTTCCTGACCCCAGCTGGGCAACTGTCTTCATGAGAAATCTTGCTACCTGAAGCCACAGTTTTTGACGAGATGTGAATGATAGTTAATGGGAAGTGACCCACAAAACAAGGAGCTAAGATCTGCCAGATCATTTACTCTCTAGCTTAGCCCTTCCAATATTAATTATTAGAAACTTCAGAGAAACTGATTAGAGATTTCAGCAATGCATCACATGAGAACCAAAAGATAGAATAACAAAAGACCAAACTATTGAAACCGACGGTTTTGGCTAGTAAGAGAGAATAACTGACATTGATAAGTTTTTTATAACACAAAGGTTACCTGTAAAAGAAGCACAACATTGTCTCCTTCATATGTGCAGGCAGGGACATAGACAGCAAACAACTCAGGGAGACCGCTGCAAAACAAGTAGCCATGTCCTCCGCACAACTTCCGGCATTCTTCAATGCCATCCTGCACACAACAGTAATGTTCAGTTTATTTGCAAGTTTATACCCAGTGAAACCGTTTAGGCTGAGTTATGATCTCAACAAGGCGACATGTAATGATGTGAATATATATGCTATCACATGTAGACAATCAAACCAAAGCAAATCAATCTAATATGTAGGAATGATGAGTGTCAGTGCATACCGCAGTGGCAGAGGTAGTCAAGGACTTGAGTCCAGCAGTGCATGCATGAGCCTCAGGCAACGTCGAGAAATCATTGGCTTGCAGCCTTTGAGTTACATCCATGTACAGCCATTTCAGCCACTCCCCGACAAATCGAAAGGCGTAAGCAGATGCCAGTAAAGGAAATAATCTATTCTGCTGAGTTTTGTAATCAATAACCTGTTATAACAGCAACGCAGGGAATCATATTGTGTTCCTTTTTGAGAACCTTAGTCAGCATAGTAATTAGCGACAGCTTCATAAAGCCAAGCCTATGAATAGCAGTTTTGTCCACCAGAGTGATATTCTCATGAACCAAATATTTGAAAATTGTGAACCAATCGCTGCTACAGTTACTTGTAATTCAAACATCAACGAAGTACGGGTTCAAAACACTATAACCACGCCCCATTTACAAAATAGATTGTAAAGATGAATCCACCTCTATGCTTGAGAGAATTGATATGCAGACATATTATGGGCTGGATTATCCATCGTTATCAAAGTAAAACTTCATGGAAAGATCCTACTCTGAAACAGTGCAACAACCTCCTAGAATGTGTGATGGTCAATCGACTAATAAGTGTGAGATTGGTCAGTGAATTTGAAGATGATGGGCCCCTCCCAAAGAGACGCTACGTTCTAGGAGCGAAATCTAGGGATGAAGCTGTGATTAGATCTTGGATTTACTGGATTCTGATTTAAGTTACATTAGCATACTACCAAGGCAAAAGTCACATTCGTCATGAACAGAAGCCGGAAAGCTTTCGACAAAGTACCTGCGTCTCAAGACCACCATTCTGTGAGCCAAATTGCCTCCGCACAGCACTGTACCTTGTAGCTATGCAAACTGCCCGAGACAGCGCACTGGAAGCATCAGCCACAATTGTTTGTCTCACAAACACCATAGTACCATACACCAATTGCCTTGGAACATCTGATGGTACGTACTTGCCATCCCTAGTAACTTTTGACAGCCTGGGAGGTTTGGAGAAAATAAATCCAAAAATTTCCATCAGCTTTGAAGCACGAGTTATTTCTTCAAAAGATATCAGGAAAGCCTAAAAGCTTATTCAGTCAGACCAGATGAAAGATTAACAAAGAGAACCTCATAAGCATTTGATCTCTCGGGATGCGGACATGATCAAACATAAGAAAACCATTGTCCATTGAGTTATATGCCCCATTCCCAAACTTCGTCCCAATATCCCCAACTGTTATGCCTGGGAGAGGAGAGTGGTCATCCAAACTGCGCAGTTGCACGATAAATCCTGAGAAAGGGAAGTTTCAACGATCATTATCAAGCTAAAAGTTAATGAAGAACAATTATGAACAAGCATCCTGGTACTTACCATGGATACCATAGTCTTCACCATCGGTTATGAGACGAGCATAAACAACAGCATGAGTAGAAATTTTTCCAAGTCCACCAGGCCACCACTGTTCAAGAATTCAATACACAGTGAATCTTACAAAAAAAAAAAAGAAAAAAAGAAGAGACTATACAAACTTAATCAGAGACTTAATTTTAAAGTCACTCACTTTGGCTGAAGTCAGAGTTGGACTGTGCATGACAAATTCATCTGTCTTTGGATCAAAAGTGGCGGTTGTCTCCAAACCCTGAACGTTTGAGCCATGGCCCAGCTCAGTTTGAGCATAACACCCTATAATCTGCATCCTATTGGCCAGAGATAACCACTTCTTCTGCTGCTCTTCAGTGCCCTGACCCTTAATAGCGGGCACAAACATGCCCTAGAAAACAGGAACATAAACACCAACCCAATGAAACAAAATTACGGCCACCTGATAATGAGTACTCAAAATCATGACAGAAGCAACATACTTGAAATTAAGAAGGAAAATCATATTCAAAAAAGAGAACTTTGCAGGAATTACCCAATGTAGATCAACAAAGCAGGGCTCATCCATGAAAAACCTCAGTCTACCTGCTTCTTCCTCTGTAAACAAAACCAAGGAAGAGTCTATAAGAGAGATTTCGATCAAAGAAACGCCATAACAGACTGTAAAACCACGAGAAGAATCCGTTTTTTTTTTGGGGGGGGGGTTGGGGGGGGGGGAGGGAGAACCCATACCGGAGAGTCGAAGCTCAATGATCCTTTTCCACGCATGAACAGCTTTCCTCAATGTGTTCTTGAACAACTCCTTCCTACTCAACACACCTCTATGGTCCTTGCGGAAGAACTAACAAAGCAATTCGCAACCCAAAAATTCACAAATCGGACACAAGAACAGCCCTAAAGCGATTTCACACATGAAAACTCCCAGAAACCAAACGGACCAAAAAAAACAGAGAGAACGAGAGAGAGAAATCACCGGATCGCTAGCGACGAGGCGGGAGATGCGATCAGAAACCTCAAAAGCGTGGCGAGAACCGGCCCAGACGATCTTCATGTCGTCGACGTCGAATTCGGCCCTGTTCCTCTCATCGGCGAGATGATCAACTCCTTCCATAATCCTCGGATTTGCGCCCAGAGATCAGATCCGGTGGAGAAACACAACGACACCTATAAGTTTCCCGGGAAAACACGGAGAGTGATTTTTCTATCACGAGAAAGAGGGGAAAACGGAGAGAAAATCGGAGGGAGAGAAAGAGACGCAAAGGCCAAGAGTGTGTCGAGTGGGGGTAGCTGCAATTTAAATGATTTTTAATTCGACGATAGAAATTATTGCGCTGTCTTCACCGATCGAAAAGTTCAAATAGATTTAGGATTCTCAATTATATAAAAAATAAATATAAACTTGAAAATTATAGTAACTGTCAGTGTGTGTATATATATATATACGCACGTGTAAATACTATGGAAAACTATAGTCAGACGGTGGGAGAAGCATGGACGGTGCAACGTGTATGAACTTTGGCAGCGTTTTTATATTGCAATATGTGTTTTTTTGCCAAGTTGTTTAATGTTCAACCAAAACGATAACTTCTCTGTAACATTTTTGGGAAAATATCCTATAAAAAGAATCTAAACTTTTGTATACAAAAAACTGTCAACTACTATTGTTTTTCCAAATATATATATATATATATATGTATATATATATATTCCTTAATAAGTTAATAGCTAATGTTGCTCACCGGTGTCTGCAGATCGCCGTTTGACCATACATCCAACGTCCGTTTAAGAGATTTAAAAAAATCGATTTTTAATAAAGAATAAATAAAACCAGACTCAAACTTATAACTTAGATGGTGTAGTGGTGGGAGAACATCTATTTTTCCGGTCCTTTGGGAAAATGTTACATAAATTTTTCCGGTCCTTTGGGAAATGTATGTGGTGCGAGAACATCCTGAGTTTAAATTCAAACGTGGGGAGGAACATTCATATAAATTTTTCCGGAACGAAAGAAACTCGTATGGGCCCATGATTAATTGGGCTTCAATTGAACTCATATGGGCCCTAAGCCCAACATGATTTTACAATGGGTTGATTCCGAATAATGTTACATGCGTTTGTGTTTTACAATTCAAATACAAATCAAGAACAGCATATATGGAAATACAAAATTCTTATTTCGTTCATGACAACAACACAGTTCATTTCCCGGCGGTCGGAGTGCGGCCATAGGTAAGGCTGAATTGCCCGTCGTAGTAGTCCTCGGCACGGATCGGTGGGAATCTACATCATCATCATCGCGTCCACATCCCCCCAAAATTAAATATTTTGGTGGCCGAAAAACAAAATCATGAAGAAAGTGAAGGAAAACTTCAATTCGAGTCTAAAGAAAACGAGCGAATCCGATTCAAACGATACCTTGGAGGGCAAGTTTCGCTGCAACAACACTCCAAGCATTTCACAACGCAGTCCGGGTGCGGATCTAAGAAGAACGCCACCTATACACAACACACAATTCATATCTGATTCATGTGTATATACATATATATATATATATATATGTATATGCGTATCTTACGGAGTAACGTTCCTTGCCCACGTGGATCACTCTATGTAAGGTCGACCTGAACACGTGATCCAAAGCAAAAAAGACATGTTTGGTCTTGAAATGATCCAAAAGACATCAGAGATTTACGAAAACTAAAAAAAAATGGAAAAAGAAAATGGAGATTTACCGGAACAATCCGTTAGTCCACCTTTCCATCAGATCACCAATGTTGACAACGAAAGCTCTGCAGTTACAGTAAACAATGTCAGAGGCTGCTTCATCTTCTTTACGACCAAAACATGGGTATATGTTCTTTTGGGCTTACCCTCTGACTCCAGGGACATCTTCCCATACACGCGCTTCTTTTGACTTATCCCTACAAACCTGTAATTTGTTCACACTTTCAGAACAATTTTTATTTTGAATGCGGAAAAAGGGGTCACTGTTTTTTTTTTTCCCAAGGCTTGAGGAATGTGAGGCTGTTCCTGAAGTCCGGGAACTCCATCCGAGGCAAGAAGAGTGATCATCGCCAAATCCGTGTGAGCAGAGGCTCCATATGTTTCCTCACTCCACGAAACCAGTTCGCCTAAAAAAAACTCATATTTATCTTTTAAAAATCAAGATCAAGCAGCTCGGACTCCGAATCTTTGGAATGGTTCAAGTGTACAAGTTTTTAGCATATATATATATATATATACACACACCTGGATAATGTAAGAGGCGAACAATGGGAGCGCCATCACTGTAGGCTCCGATTTGCTCGAAGTAGTTCTCGTCCAAATTCAGCGCCAATGCGATTAGGCCAAGCAGCTTCCTACCAACAGATCTATAAGCAACATATTTGATTAAGATTAGCCCCATGGATACAGTGTTTCTTTCCACATCTATTTGATCGGAAATCAAGCACAGCAAAACCTTGCACTAGATTGAACCTGAATCTTATATCTAAATGCTGAAATTTATGAAGTTAAAAAAAAAAAAGTTTCCAATTTTAGCACTTACAGGACACTCTTGTAGTAACACTCCATGGTTGACCTCCATGACGGCAGAATATCTGATCATCTCAAACCCATCAGACATCAAAATGTATGGGAGAAATCCGATGAGCATAAAGACATCAAGTGAGATTTCACCTTCATCAGGCCATTGATTGGGATAACGCTGGGCCAGATCACCTGTGGAAGAACCAAAACAGAAGGTCTCCTTGGGATCACCTGTCACATGGAACATTCTCAAACCATAAAACGGGAAATCGATGAGTCAGAAATCAGGCAAGAGATGATCACACGAAAGAACCTCGGGTGGGGCGGGACGAATCGAGTTTCTCGTCCTGACGCGGACGATTCGGATCAGATAAATCGAGTTTCTCATCGTACAACGGCGAGTAACCCCGGTAATTGACTCGGAAAACCCCCATCTTCTCTTCTAGGGGGAGAGAGAAGAATCTGTTACTCTCTCTGAAAACGTCTTCTATCAATTCTTCAGGAACTCCATGATTCTTAACATAGAAGAATCCATGATCCATACAAGCCTAATGGTCAATTAGACATAATATTATTAATTGGTTAAGGCAATTCTTGGTTCGGTATAGGTCTATTCTTTGCAATGTCTGGTTTAGCAGACAACTACTGCGTTTTCTGTTATTCTGCAGATATGTAAAACATGTCCAAGCATTTCTGTTTTTTCTAGCCTTTATAGAATAGATTAGGATGGGGATCACCATCTCCTTTTTTACTTTTTAGAACATTCGTTCTGTATATAAAGGATGTACATGAGCTTGAGCAATATAGAGAAAAATCTTCCAAAAACACTCTTTTCTTCTGTTTATCGAAATGGTATCAGAAGCCTGAAGTTTTTTTCTCACCTTCTCTGTTTTTCCTGAGCCATGGACGATCAAACTCCAACCCAGCTTTCTTCGACCTCTACCCAACCTCCATCTTCTTCTTCGGAGCCCTCTTCTTTCCAAAACCCAGATCCTTACTCTAACCCTCTTTTTCTCCACCCAGCCGATTCTTCGAGCCTCACTCTTGTCTCAGAAAAACTTGTTGGTGAACCAAATTATAATCTCTGGTCCAGATCTGTGATCAAGGCTCTCACCACAAAGAACAAATTAGGGTTTATCTATGGTGAGATCCCGCAGCCTTCTACCGACCACCCTGATTTCGGTTCCTGGTCCCGTTGTAATGCTCTAGTGGCTACCTGGTTGGCCAACTCTGTTTCCTCTGACATCGGAAGCCAGATCTTATACCTCGATGATGCTCATGCGATTTGGCAAACATTGGAAACAAGGTTCAAGCAGAGCAATGTTTCTAAAATTTTCAGCGTTGAACAACGCATCGACAATCTGAGGCAGGGTTCTCTGGATCTCAACTCGTTTTTTACGAAGCTTAATGCCCTTTGGGAGGAGCTCAACAACTATGAACCTTATCCAGTCTGTTCCTGTGGTGGTTGCTCCTGTCAAGCCAACATGAAGCTTCTTGACATCCTTGCCCGTCGTAATGTGGTAAAATTTCTCATGAAGCTTAATGATTCGTTCACACAGGCTCGCCGACACATCCTCATGATTGATCCCTTACCAAGCCTGGCCAAGGTATATAATCTTATTTCTCAAGAAGAGCATCACAGATCTTCTATTTTGAGTCCCTCTGATTCAGTTGTCTTTCAAGCTAGTTCTTCTTTTCCTCGCCCGAAACACTCTGTCGACAGTT